TGCTCAAAGAGAGAGAGAAAGCAGGAGCAAAAGAGCAAAAAACAAAAAACAAATAAATAAAAGCCAGCAGCAGCAAAAACAGCTAATGTTTCTTTTTAAAAGGTCACCTTATAATATAGGGCAAATAATTTTTACTGACATAATTAATCCTTGGGGGTTTTTTAAACGGCAATCAAAGGGCAGTAACAATGTGGGGCTTGGGGCAGAGCCAGAGTCTGCTCTCCACTTTTGGTGAGCTGCTGAGGTGGAGGGGATGCTGACCTGGCCCGTGACAGCTGGAAAAAACTCCCTAAGTGGTCCTCCAGCCCAAATAATTGCCTGGCTTACACACTTAGCTTGTCCCAGGAATGAAGGATAATCACCAAGAATTAGCTGCAGTTGTCCTGGGAAAAAGTATTATGTCAGGCTAAAAACAGATGTCAGATTTCTTTCAGGACAAAGCCTTGTAATTTGGGATCCTACAGACCTACAATCCCATTGTTCCACTTTAAGTACCTGTGAAGTATCTGAGTTAATTCTTTGTCCTGGGATAGTCATAGCCAATTGGAGTTAATTGCCATTCAAACTACTAGGGTAAATTATTGTCCCATGTCTGTTTTGACGCAAGTCAAAACCTAAGGCAATCTGACCCAAATGTGTTTTTATCCTAGAATACTTCACAGGTACTTAAAGTGGGACAAGCATCTCGCTGGGGTAAGCACCTTGCTGGGGTCACTTGACCCCAGTTGTCTTCCTGCCTAGAGCAGGTCAGAAGGGGCGGGGGGAGGCGGGGGCAGGGTTGCAGATCATTGGGTCCAAGGTCCCTTCCAGCCCCTAGCAATCTAGGAATCTATGAACCAGGATAAAAGGCTTTGTCACTAGAAAAATCCAATGTCTGTTTTTACCCCTAAAATGACACCTTTCCCTGGGGCAACAGCAGCTAATTTGCTATAATTGCCACTCAGGCTATGCCTATAAAAGAAAGAATTAGACACTGCCTTTCATGGCCTCCGTGCTATCATAAATTTTCTTTTGTTGCATACCTCTCTTACACACCATTTGGCCCTAGGTGCTGTTTAGGCTGTTGCCTCATACCGCTTGTACTGAAGGCCTGCAAAGATGTGGACCACTACTGCCCACGCTGCCAGTTTCATATCTTCAGATACAAAAGGATCTAAGAAACCTATGCGACTGTTTAAAGCCAAGTCGCTGCTTTTGCTACCGATGTCAACAATTCACAGATAAATGCATTTTTTGGAAATAGGCTGAAGTGGCCCTCAACAAGTCCCGGCAGGCTGGCATGTTGGGAGCTGTTAGGGCATCTGATAGCTTTGGAAAGCACCTTACAAATAATTCTCTGGCTTTTGCCTCAAGTTTGTGTTTTGACAATTAGATGCTTATGCTTTAAATTACAGGGGCTCAAATCTTTTGGCCTAGTGGGCCTGACTGGCCATTCCTGGTCCATCCACAGGCCGGATCCAGGTGGTGTTCCCAATTCGGTGCCTAGTGGGCACCATCTAGCCTTGTGGAGGTGGGCAGAGGGGGGCAGCTGGCCCTATTGAAGCCCCACGGGGGAAAGGAGCTTGCCCCAGCCCTGCAGGGAGAGAAGGGGCTGTGGCCAAGCTCCAACACCCTCTGCATGGGGCAGGAGGAGGAGACGTGGCCCAGCTGCGATGTGGGGGTGGAAGGGGTTGCAGCCCTACCCAGGGCTTGAGGCTTTGGCGGGGGAAGGGTGGCCATATTCATGACTGCGCTCCCGTGCCAAGTGTCAGGCCGTCACACCCTGCTGCACGAGAGGGAGGTGCACTATGCTGTAGGGGTGACCCGGGGCCCTGCTGGTGCCAGCCCTGCTTCCTTGCTCCCACCTGCAAGTGCCAGGGGGTGCAGGCGGCATGGCAGGGATGCACCTGTGCGCCGAGGAAGGGCCTGGCCTGGCCTGGTCGCCTTGTGGGGTAGCCACTGTACCCCCTGCACTTGTCAGCCACGGAGGCCCAACACCAACGGCCGCGGTGTCCGTTTTGCAAGGCCCCAGCGGTTGGGCAAGGGCGGGAAGCATCTGGTGGGTACAGCCATACCACACAGGCCAGCTGTGCCCCCTCGGCCTCGCAGGCAGGGGAGAAGTGCCGCTCTTGCACAGCGCAGCTGACGGGGCCCTAGGCTGAGGTGCGAACCACAGAGCTGAGGCTGGGCTCGGTGCCAGGTGGGGAAGACCCCGTTGCTCTCACTGTACATGACAGACGCGGGTGGGGAAGAGTCCCGCGGGGGCCGAGCACCAGTGACCAACCTTCTGAAGGGAGAGATGGCCTTTAGCAAGGGGCTGCACAGCCTGCCTGCAGGACCCTGCTCTCCACTCCTGATAGCAGGGTTTCAAACTTGGGACAGAAAAGTGACTAATTAAATAATAAATAAATAATAAAAATGACCCAGTTCAGCTCTTTGAGGTGGCAGCCCTCTCAAAACTACTGCAAAGCAGCTCTTTCCACAAATGGGCTGCTCTAGGGAGGAGCTGCAGGACCTTGACAGAGGGACAAGAACAGATGTCCCTTGGCTGTAGCATCCCAGGTGAGGTCCCACAAAAGGTATATCCAGCTCAGCTGCGGTGCCTCATCCGCCCAGCCTGAAAGATAATGGGAAAGCTACTGAAAGCCACATTATTTTCACTTACCTGAAGTGCTTCAAGACTAGACCACAGCTGCAAGGTATTTCTTCTCCCAACTGATGCTGAGGTCCTCCGTCATTCAGAACTTTGGTGATATAAAAGAGTAACACTTCCCAAGAAAACACCTGCAGCACATGCTTTCTTATTTCTGTGGAGAGGTGAGTATATCCCTATCCAGGCTCTGAAGGGCCAGAATATTGAACATTTTGCCATAAAGTAGTCACAGTTAAGTTGCTGGGAAACCCAGGAAGGTGGCTATTTCTTCTTCTGTTTCAATGTCATCATTTGGTCTGAAAGTTCACTTTGAGAAGACAGAGAAACTATCTTTGCAGGACAGAAATCAAATCTCCTTTTGTTCATGAAGCAAGACCAGGTGTTTCAGGGATGCCAATTTGTTTACAAGTGGAATAGAAAGAAGCTTGGCTGCCCAGACCAGACTGAAGTCATGGGTTATACAGCAATAAAAAGGACCCATATGATTTGGCAGTCCCTCCCACACACTCCACTCTCTGTGAACTAAAGGGGAGGATGCAGAAGGGAGCTCAGTTCCTTCAAATACCCTGTTCAAAAGGTGCCAGGTATTCTTATGTCTGCAACGGTCCACCCTTTTGAGAAAGGTCATTGAATGAGTGGTTGCCCAACAGCTCCAGGCTTATCTGGGTATCCTGTTTCCTAGACCCTTATCAGACCGAATTTTATGCTTGATATAGCACAGACTGAACTCATGGCCTTGGTTGGTGGTCATTGCCTTGAGATTGATAGGAGAAAGGCCAGCGGGGGACACGCTAGACATTTTGGAGGCCTTTGACACAGCCAACCACGAGGTTCTGATTAGTGTTTACAGGACCCAGTGGATATTGGCAGGACTGCTCTTTCCTAGCGGGGGGTCCCAGAGGACACTGATGGGTGAATGCTCATCATCCCTTTGAGATCTTTTCTATGGGGTCCCCAAGGCTCCATCGTGTCACCCCTCTTGCTCAAAGTGTATATGAGGCCATTGGGTGAGACTGTCTTTTCCGTGCCTGGCTGCAGCTGGGGACTGGATGCGATTGAACCAACTGAAACTGAATCTAGGTAAGAAAAGGGCATTGGGGTGGGTAGACCACTTGATCTGGGGAGGATTGGGACACTGATCATTGAAGGGTTCAGCCTCCCCTTGTCACTCAGGTTTGCAGCCTTGGACTGATCCTGGATCATCTGCTGCACCTAGACCTTTGCGGGATGGAGATTTTGGGGGCTGATACTGATAGCTGATTTTTAAAGGAGGCATATTGCTTGAAACCAATCTGATTTCCAATACAGCTGTGTGCAGCTGATAAATCTATTGTGGTGAAAGGGGAGGGGGGGGAAGGGATATGGGGGGGCAGATCAACGCCCCCTCATGGTGAGGGAATGGGGGTGGGGTAGGCACTGACCAGCCAGGGCAGGGCGGGGCAGGCACAGGACAGAGACCTGGTTTTTCCAGGGGCTGCAGGGGGGTATGGTGCAGCTCCCACTGCTTGGCTGGGAGGGTACAGGGGGAGGGGGAGGGGGAGGGGGAG